CACTGGACATAGTAAAAGATCCATCGCATCCTGGTCACTGTCTCTTCGAGCTCCTGCCATCGGGACAGAGATACAGGACGATGAAGACAAGAACGAGCCGTCTTAAGAACAGCTTCTTCTCCAGAGCGATCTCGGCCCTGAATGGGAAGCCTGGACTTTGAAAGTCATCTAATCTTCCTTGCTGTACTATACTGTATTGTTTTAATTAGTGTTTTTATGGAGCAGTCAAGTAATTTCGTTGTCCCCGAGAGGGGGCAATGACAATAAAGATATTATTATTATTATTATTATTATTATTATTATTATTATTATTATATAGGGACCTTTGGGAATTCCTGGATTCTGCTTCTGACCTGTCTTGGCTGGCTCCCTTCATACGTTGACCTCGGGGGGCAAGTCACAGCTCCAGCTCCAAAGGCAAGTGGTGGCCTTGGCCCTTGAGGGACAACAGCATGGGGAAGTCACCATCACAGATCACCTGCCCTCTGGTCCTTGGGACAGGAGACTTTTGCTGCCTCCTTGCAGAATTATTTTTGCATATTTCAGAGAGGTCTTTTGGGTCATTTGGAGGTGGAGGAGGGAGAAGGAGGTGGGGGGGGAGAGAAATGTTTGGAAGCTCCTTCATTTGCCCAGAAGGTTCCCTTCTACAGAAATGTGAATGGTCCAGTTCTGGGGCAAGAGACCATTTATTTGTGCTCTAGCCAACTATCAAAACAAGAATTCCTTCACTGGTATTTTGAAACACCAAGTGGTCAGATTTATCTCAAGTTTACTTGCAGCTTACAGGCATTTTGGAGTTGGCTGTTTCTTTTTATTGCCCAAGTGACATTCTCTAAACCTCTCCCTGCAGCATACCAGCCATCTGGGTCAACATTTTCTGACCCTTAAAGCGCACCGTGCAAAGAAACTGAGGGCTCCCTATCTGATAATTTGAGGTTGGCTATCTTCATGCTACGGGACGCGGGTGGCGCTGTGGGTAAAACCTCAGTGCCTAGGACTTGCCGATCGCATGGCAATCCCTGCCGCGGGGTGCGCTCCCGTTGTTCGGTCCCAGCGCCTGCCAACCTAGCAGTTCGAAAGCACCCCCGGGTGCAAGTAGATAAATAGGGACCGCTTACCAGCGGGAAGGTAAACGGTGTTTCCGTGTGCTGTGCTGGCTCGCCAGAGCAGCTTCGTCACTCTGGCCACGTGACCCGGAAGTGTCTGCGGACAGCGTTGGCTCTCGGCCTATAGAGTGAGATGAGCGCACAACCCTAGAGTCTGGCAAGAGTGGCCCGTACGGGCAGGGGTACCTTTTCCTTATCTTCATGCTGACATGCAGCCATGCTTCATGGTGACAGCAGCCACAAAATTAAAAGACGCCTGCTTCTTGGGAGAAAAGCAATGACAAACCTAGACAGCATCTTAAAAAGCAGAGACATCACCTTGCCATCAAAGGTCCGTATAGCTAAAGCTGTGGTTTTCCCAGTTGTGGTGTATGGAAGTGAGAGCTGGACCATAAAGAAGGCTGATCGCCAAAGAATTGATGCTTTTGAATTATGGTGCTCACTGGAAGGACAGATCCTGAAGCTGAGACTCCAATACTTTGGCCACCTCATGAGAAGAGAAGACCCCCTGGAAAAGACCCTGATGTTGGGAAAGATGGAGGGCCCAAGGAGAAGGGGACGACAGAGGACGAGATGGTTGGACAGTGTTCTCGAAGCTACCAGCATGAGTTTGACCAAACTGCGGGAGGCAGTGGAAGACAGGAGTGCCTGGCGTGCTCTGGTCCAGGGGTCATGAAGAGTCAGACACGACTAAACGACTAAACAACAACAACAACATCCCGTCATCCTAAGATCTCTGGGCGGTCCATGGAATAAAATACAAGATAAGAACACAAGTAAATTATTAAAGCTAAACAGTGAAACAATACCCCCACTTCCCACAGGCACATATTAAATGGCTGTAGAATATTAATCAGCCAAAGTTTTGGTTGAAAAGAAACGTTTTCACCTTGTGCCTAAAATATATATAGTGAAGGCACAAGGCAAACCTCTCTGGGGAGAGCATTCCGCAGCTGCAGAGCTACTGCAGAAAAGGCCCCATTCTCATGTTGCCACCGTCCAGCCCTCTCGCGGAGGAGGCAGACAAAGAAGGGCCTCAGATGATGAACACAAAGTCCAGGATAGTTTGTACAACCTCCTAGTGTGCACAAAATGGACCCTTGTGCAGTTGTGCCAATATCATCACAGAGCTATCTCTAGCCAAATCTCCTAGGGTCCAGGTGTTGTGGTAAACTGAGATTCTGAAGTGCAAAGCTAACCCAGGTTTGGAAACAACAGCAAGTACCAACAGTAGAAGAATGGCGACAGAAGGTAATGGAATGTGCAGAAATAGCTAGATTAACGTGGGAAATTCGACAACAGGGTGATGAAACATTTCAAAAAGAATGGGGAAAATTTATGTCATACATAGGAAGGATAAGGTGAAATAGTGAAACCAGTAGAACTGAAATAAACCTCATAATGTGAAATACAAAGAAAATTTCTGGATAAAGAAAACAACAAAAAGTAAAATGTACAATGTGATCAATGTAACCAATGGTAGTTGTAAATGGATATAGACAGACAATAGGAATTATATATACAGGAGGATTTATAGACACTCTATGGACAAATACGAAAGAAGAACAATACAGTGGGACCTCGGATTAAGTACAGTCATACCTCGGGTTAAATACGCTTCGAGTTGAGCGTGTTTGAGTTGCGCTCCATGGCAACCCAGAAGTAACGGAGTGCGTTACTTCTGGGTTTCGCCACTTGCGCATGCGCAGACGCTCAAAATGACATCACGCGCATGCGCAGAAGCGGCAAAAAGCGACGCGTGCGTGCGCAGATGTGCCATCACTAGTTACGTTTACCTCTAGATGCGAGCGGGGCTCCCGAACAGATCCCGTTCATATCTAGAGGTACCACTGTACTTAATTCGTTCTGGAGGTCCGTTCTTAACCTGAAACTGTTCTTAACCTGAAGCACCACTTTAGCTAATGGGGCCTCCCGCTGCTGCCGCGCCGCCAGAGCACAATTTCTGTTCTCATCCTGAAGCAAAGTTCTTAACCCGAGGTACTATTTCTGGGTTAGCGGAGTCTGTAACCAGAAGCGTATGTAACCTGAAGTGTATGTAACCCGAGGTACCACTGTAATATACAAAACGGATGAAGACAATGAGAAAAAGTTAGATGTGATATAAAAGGCCAGAAGAGGGAAGGAGGGAAGTTGGCTCTGGGAAGCAGGTGTAAATGTGAAATGTAATACCTCTTGTTACGTTCGGTTTGGGTTATGTCTTTTCAGGATGCGTCCTGCGGCGACTCGGAAGTACCAGAAAGGGTTACTTCCGGGTTTCACCGCTCGTGCATGCGCAAATGCTCAAAATGACATCACACGCATGCGCGCAGAAGCAGTGAATTGCAACCGGCACACGCGCAGATGCGGGTTGCATTCTGCTCATGTTGCGAACGGGACTCTGGAACGGATCCCGTTCGCAACCAGAGGTACCACTGTACAATATGCGTCTGTGGGGTGTGCAAATGAAAACCAATAAAGAATATTATGAAGAAGAAAAAAAGAAATTCTGAAGTGCATCGGCTCTACACAACAATCTCTGTAGACATGCCTCTTCTAAGGCTGTGCAACGGAAAACAAGGCTGTCCTTTTGGTTTTAATACTAAACCAGTGGTCTGTCCCCCTCCAGTCCTTCCCTGCCTGTTCTTGTGTTGCTACCCTCTGGACCTCTTGTGGAGGCGGCACATGAAGAAGGGCATCAGATGATGACCATAGGGTCTGAGTCAGTCTGTATGGGGAGAGGCAGTTCTTCAGGTATTGCGGTCCAGAACCATCAAAGGCTTCATAGGGGAAATCCACCACTTTAAATTGGGCCCGGAAGCTAATTGGCAGCTAGTGCTGTCATTGGCCTTATCTGCAAACTGTCTTGTTGCAGTGAACAACCTTGCCACCAAATTCTGCACCAGCTGAAGCTTATTTGCAGATAATATCTATCTGCACAAAATGGCTTAGACTATATTATTCCCTGGGAACGACTTTAAATGAGGCATTTAAAAAAATCTTCTGTGCTCTACCTGGGACATTAGACACTGGATTAATAAGAATCATTCATGTTGATGTACAATCTGATGCTTGCTATGCGAGTGTGGATGTTATGTTATATATACATCTTTGCCATATATATATATATATATATATATATATATATATATATATATATATACAGTGGTGCCCCGCAAGACGAAATTAATTCGTTCCGCAATTTTTGTCGTCTAGCGAATTTTTCGTCTTGCGAAGCACGAAATCCCATAGGAATGCATTGAAAATCAATTAATGCGTTCCTATGGTCAAAAAAAGTCCAAACAAAGCCAAATTTGGTACAACAACAGTTTATTAACTGCTCTTTAAAGTCACACATACTGTAAAGAGCAGTTCAAAAATTGAAGGGAAAATAAATTAACTTTATAAACAAAACATGTCTTTGTTTTTAGACAAAGAAAACAAAGTCGCGAGACGTTTTCGTCTTGCGAAGCAAGCCCATAGGGGAAATTCGTCTTGCGAGGCAAATCGAAAACGGAAAAACCTTTCGTCTAGCGAGTTTTTGTCTTGCGAGGCATTCGTCTTGCGAGGTACCACTGTATATATATATATACACACACACACACACACACACACACACGGTACACACACACACACACACACACGGTGGACGCTCGGGTTGCGAACGTGATCTGTGAGGGATGCATGTTCGCAACCCGCAGTGTCCGCAACCCACAGCTGCACGCCTGTGCACATGCGGGTTGCGATTCAGCACTTCTGCGCATGCGCAAACCATGATTTAGTGCTTCTGCACATGCGCGACCACCAAAACCCGAAAGTAACCTGTTCCAGTACTTCCGGGTTTTGGCGGTCCGTAACCCAAAAAAACCGCAACCTGAAGCGTCTGTAACCCGACATATGACTGTAATGTTAGATGTATTCTACAACCATGGCAGAGGAAGGAAATTCCACAAATGGAAACAGAGATAATGGAGGAGCTTCAAAAGAAAGGATGAGGGCATAGGATGGTTAACCTGCTCTGGCCCTTTACATGTTGAAGAATGTCCCCTCTTTGGTCAGTCGGGTGGCCAAGGTAGGTGACAATGGGACTCTGCTTCTCCAAGACACCTGACCACCTTCAGAGGGGAATGGCACACATTTCATAAAAACGTGGGACATTGAAAAAGCCAACCAGCATGGGAGAGATGTCAATCTTTTCAGGAGGGACGGGAGATTTGAAGCGGAAGTTCTGCAGGATGCTGGTGAAGAAGAGGAAAAGTTCCGTTCGGGCCAGATGTTCTCCAAAGCAATAGCGCTTCCCTAGGAAAGAGGAGGAAGGTGAATATGGGCTTTCACATTGCCGTTATAGACAGTTAAGGAGTGTCTGGGAATGGAAGGGGACTCACCAGCAGAGAAAGGCATAAAAGCCTTATTCCTCTTGAACTGCCCATTCTCATCCAGGAAATGTTGGGGGTCAAACACATCTGGTCTTGCAAAATGTCTGGGGTCTTTCAGCACAGACCCGAGCATGGGAAACACTTCAGTCCCCTGAACAAGAAACAGAGAGAAATGAGAAGAGATGGGAGACATGGAAGATTCTTCTGGATGACAAGAAATCATTTTGAGATTTGGAGGAGCAAATCCTGCTATCTACCACCAGGCCCAGTAGTGTACTGGTCAGTTCTGTGCTGCAGAAAATTATCATGACCGCCCTCATCGCCACGCACCTCTGAGGAGAGTCCCCAAATGCAGGCATCTGTGATGGTCCATTGGCCTCCCTCCAGTACTAATATTCAGAAGATGATGACGACAATGATTATTAAAATGTGCTGTTTATGTGGCCTTCCCACAGATATCTGGTTGGTAATAACTTTGCCTTCATGAAGTTAAATTAACAGCTACTCCATGTGAAAAATACCGTAGCTTTTGGAGAGTTAGAACTAAGCCACCTTTCAGCCTCATAAGAAAACCCACCATCACTCCTTTGGGGAAGAAGGCACCAAGAGAAATGGGCCTAATGTAGTGTCATCCGGCTGGGCTCTGTCGGAGGTTCCGTACGACCGAGCTGTAATGGCTCTCCTCCTCGTCACATCTTCCTAATCCATCAGGCTCTCCTCCTCCAATGGTGATTAATGACCTAAGTCTCTGATGAGGCTTCAGGCACGCTGCTCCATTACTCAGAGTATCCAAACAGTAGAAGGAGCCAAGAAATGTGTGCTACATCGCTACATTTATTTCTAACTACGCAGGACAGAAAAGAATATGCATCTGCTCTCTGTGAGAGTCAGTGAACAACTGGAACAAAGAAACAGGAAACCAGTAACATCAACATCCGTCTCCCGTGAGACTTCCAACAGTCTGGAATGTAAACAGAGTCTTGTGACTCCAAAAACTACACAGTGGCATAACAGAAATCTAACAGGCTCTTCTGGTCTTATTTTGGATTTGACTCTTATAACCCTAGAACGGTGATGACAGACAGGTCAGGGACAGAGGTACCTAAGGGAATTTTGTCGGCCTTCAAAATATGTCTGGAGATTGTACTGAATGGCAGATTCTTCGTCTCAGGAATTTATAGAACCACAATACCTTGGGAATGGTGTATCCCCGGAACTGGGTATCACGGGTCACACGTCTTACTACGCCTGTTGGGACCAGATCTGAGAATCTCTGGATCTCGTGGATCACAGCATCCGTATAGGGCATCAGGGGACGGTCATCCATGTTGGGAATGCGATTCAGGCCAATCACACGTTCAATCTCTTCGTGGACTTTCTCTGTTGAGAAGTCAGCAAGATGTGACAAAAAGTGTCCATTTGCACCTTCAGGGAGCTAAACAAGGATCCCAGCTCATAGCTGGGAAAGCAAAGATGGACCATCCCATAGAAAGGCAAGGACACCCCTCTCCACCCTCCTTTCCAGACCCTTCCCCATTCACCTTCGATCTCTGGGTATTTCAGTAGAAGCAGGAAGCCATAGCGCAAGGTGGTGCTGACCGTTTCTGTGCCCGCGAAAAAGACATTGAGGGCCGTCATAACAAGATTCTCTTGGAAGAACTCTGTGTTTGGGTTTTCCTTTTCCTAGCCGGAAGAAAAACGAGAAAAGAGGATGTTTCACTTATAACTTAAAGGTAAAGGTAAAGGTAAAGGGACCCCTGACCATTAAGTCCAGTCATGGAGGACTCTGGGGTTGCAGCGCTCATCTCGCTTTACTGGCCGAGGGAGCCGGCGTACAGCTTTCGGGTCATGTAGCCAGCATGACTAAGCCGCTTCTGGCGAACCAGAGCAGCACACGGAAACGCCGTTTACCTTCCCGCCGGAGTGGTACCTGTTTATCTACTTGCACTTTGATGTGCTTTCAAACTGCTAGGTTGGCAGGAGCAGGGACCGAGCAACGGGAGCTCACCCCGTCGCGGGGATTCGAACCGCCGACCTTCTGATCGGCAAGTCCTAGGCTCTGTAGTTTAACCCACAGCGCCACCTGACTGCCTCCTTTCTATGAAGCTCTCTCTCCCCTACTGATTGGCTGAGGGGGAAGGAACAGTCGTGGAGTTCTGAAAAGCAGCCCAACGGTTGTGTAGGAAACAGATGGCTGGGTGGAGTGGGAGGGAGCAACCACACAGTCCCTTTGTGCAGAAAGGCTACAGAGGCAAAGGAGAAGTCCTGCTGAATCAGGTCCATCTAGTCCAACATCCTGTTCTCACAGCAGCCAACCAGATGATCCACTGGGATGGAGGGCCTGAGCACAAGAGCCCTCTCCCCTCCCGTGGTTTCCAAAAACCGGTATTAAGTAGCATGGTTGCAACCAACCCATGGAGGGTAGGGCACAGCCATGCTGGCCAGGAGCCTTCAATAGAACTCTCCTCATCAATGTGTTGAATCTTCTTTTAAAGCCATCCAAGTTTCAAAACTTGGATCTGAAGCTCAACATTGGTCTGAAGCTCAACATCAAAAAAACGAAGATCATGGCCACTGGTCCCATCACCTCCTGGCAAATAGAAGGGGAAGAAATGGAGGCAGTGAGAGATTCTACTTTCTTGGGCTCCATGATCACTGCAGATGGTGACAGCAGCCACGAAATTAAGAGACGCCTGCTTCTTGGGAGAAGGGCAATGACAGGCCTAGACAGCATCTTGAGAAGTAGAGACGTCACCTTGCCAACAAAGGTCCGTATAGTTAAAGCCATGGTTTTCCCAGTAGTGATGTATGGAAGTGAGAGCTGGACCATAAAGAAGGCTGATCGCCAAAGAATGGATTCTTGTGAATTATGGTGCTGGAGAAGACTCTTGAGAGTCCCATGGACTGCAAGAAGATCAAACGCATCCATTCTTAAGGAAATCAGCCCTGAGTGCTCACTGGAAGGACAGATCGTGAAGCTGAGGCTCCAGTACTTTGGCCACCTCATGAGAAGAGAAGACTCCCTGGAGAAGACACTGATGCTGGGAAAGATGGAGGGCACAAGGAGAAGGGGACGACAGAGAACGAGATGGTTGGATAGTGTTTTCAAGGTTACCAGCATATTTGACCAAACTGCGGGAGGTAGTGGAGGACAGAGGTGCCTGGCGTGCTCTGGTCCATGGGGTCACGAAGAGTCGGACATGACTAAACGACTAAACAACAACAAGTTTCAAAATTTCCCTGGTTGAAACAGGGTCTACAAAGTTTCCTTACACAGAAATTGACCATAGTACTTAGAAGAACATAATCTTACCTGCTGCATTTTCACTAGGAAGCAATCAATGAAATCCCGAGGGTTGTTGGGGTCCAGGGTCTCCTTGTTGGCTTTTATCTTCCTCACAAAGAACTCTTTCATGAGCAAGAGCTTCTTGAAGGCTTTCTCTTGTGGGCCAGGCAGGTGCTGCATGATACCCGAGAACATTTCGTAGAGCTGTGTGTGATGGGTTTGGAGGAATCCAGAGTTAGTGGGAGGAAGAGAGAGAACAGATATTGACTTGAGATTGATTTTGGGGCAGGCAGAAGCAGGAGTTCCTCTTTCACTTGGTTCCTCTGAGCTCCACACAGAAACAACTTGGTACCAAGTGCTGACTAAGCTATAAACCTGTCACAGACACAGCTTCAGGGCTTGACTTCCCCGTTGTGATGACAAGGGTGTAATGAGGACAAGGATGAAGAGGAATCAGATGGTGTGTTTGAAACAACATTGTAAAGTTGCTCCAGGCAGAGCCTGACCAAAGACCAAGGCAGATCAGGAGTTGCAGCACCACGGAGAGCTCAGAGTGAAAAGCTTGTTCCAACAAATATCAACACTATTCTTAAGCCTCTCCCAGGTTCTGGCCCCTTGTGGAGAACTTAGTTTCTTAAGGCAGGCACTTGTCCTCTCTTTATGTGTGATTGTATTTTTAATATTTTGTTGGAAGCTACCCAGAGGGGCTGGGGAAACCCAGCAAGATAGACGGGGTATAAAACAATAAAATAAAGTAAAATAAAGTAAAATAATAAAATAAATAAAATAAAATAAAATAAAATAAAATAAAATAAAATAAAATAAAATAAAATAAAATAAAATAAAATAAAATAAAATAAAATAAAATAAAATAAAATAAAATAAAATAATAATAATAATAATAATAATAATAATAATAATTATTCATGGTCTCATGCTTGGTGGAGTTCCTGTGCTCTTGGATTTGTGATGTACTGGGGGGCGGCATTTGGTTCGGGTGTGAAAGGCACCCATGAGAATTCTGGTCCAGGCTGTGGTGGTATGGAAGAATATAATGCGGCCCTTTGTTAGTCACCCTCATTCAGACCCCTGAATGTAATCTCACTCTTTAGCTGGTGATGCTGCAGCTTCTGATCGGTATATATATATATATATATATGCTTTCGTAGATTTTCACGGGTACAGGAATGCAGGTTTTGGTGTCCTCGGGTGTCTTCCCGTGTAAAAGTTGGGGTGTCCTAGGCGACGTTTCGACGAGGTCTCACTCGTCATCTTCAGGCTGGTGCTTTCGGCTTCTTGTTACTGGAACAGAGCAGGATCTCAGTGTTTGAGTTCCTATAAATACTGTTGAGGGGGTGTGGTGTATAGCCTCCAATGTTCTGGGCAGAGAGGAAGTTCCCAGGCTAGTGTGCCTTTTCTTCTTTTGTTCCTTAATTACTTGTTCCTTAATTTACTCAAGTAATCTATCTACCGGAAAATACTATCTACCGGAAAAAAAACACACACCAACCGCTACTTACATGCACAATCACACCACCACCCTGCACAAATAAACTCCGTAGCCAAGACTCTCATCTCCAGAACCAAACGCCTGGCTGACAAAGACCACTTGACAACTGAGTTACAGAATCTCTCAAATGTGTTAATCGCCAATGGATACCAGCAAAACAGGGTTACGAAGCTAATCCAAAAAGAAACACCCCCCAAAAACCAAGACACAGAAGAAAACAATGGCATGGCCCTCCTTCCTTACATCAAGGGCACTACAGATAAAATTAGCAAAATCCTCCATAAACACAATATCAAAACAGCCTTTTGCACCAACCAAAAAATAGCCAATATCCTCAGAAACCCCAAGGATAGAATCCAGTTGGAAAACCAAGGGGTCTATGAAATACCCTGCAAAGTCTGCCAGCCACGTACATTGGACAAACAAACAGACGAATAAATGCACGTATCGCAGAACACAAGAATGCCGTCAAAAAAGAGGAAAAAACTTCCTCTCTTTTCCAACACATGAAAGAAACAGGACACGAAATTAATTTTGCAGATTCCAAATTGCTCTTTAACATGGAACATCACCACAAGAGAATAATCATGGAAGCCATCGAGATAGAGAAACACCCTCACAACATGAACAAGCGTGACGACACATCCCGCTTGCCAGACATCTGGAAATTAGCCCTCCCCACAAAAACCGACACCAGATCCAGAGGCACACAGAACGCCATCACCAATCAACCACACCAGACCCAAACCCAGACCCTCTCCACAGATAAATTACAGACACCATCCAGTAGCCAAACCATGGTGGAACCTCCGGATGCTGCACCCCCCTGCAATCCCTACACAGATCTGGCTGGCACAGGCCACAAAACCACAGCTCGCCCCTATACACGAAGCCAAGCCAGAGCCAAGTTCAAGCCAAGTTCAAGAGGTCAAGACACGAAGGCTTTAGCAACTAATCCACACCTAATGACCCACCCAAGTGGTACTCAGGATATCACTCAAGAAATCACTCCAGATATCCCTCCAGTAATTAAGGAACAAAAGAAGAAAAGGCACACTAGCCTGGGAACTCCCTCTCTGCCCAGAACATTGGAGGCTATACACCACACCTCCTCAACAGTATTTATAGGAACTCAAACACTGAGATCCTGCTCTGTTCCAGTAACAAGAAGCCGAAAGCACCAGCCTGAAGATGACGAGTGAGACCTCGTCGAAACGTCGCCTAGACACCCCAACTTTTACACGGGAAGACACCCGAGGACACCAAAACCTGCATTCCTGTACCCGTGAAAATCTACGAAAGCATATATATATATATATATATATATATATATATATATATATATATTCAAAATTAAAACAAAACATATTATCCAGAAACATATCATCCTTATTTTCCCCCCATTTTCCCTTACACTTCCAACATATATTTGAACGAGTTTTATACATTTCCCCTAACTGCATTGGTGTCGTGTACCATTTGTACATCATCTTCATGTAATTCTTCTTCAATAGGGAACAATCTGTAAATTTTAAATCAGTTTTCCATAATTTTCCCATCCTAATATTGTGACCTACATCTTGTGCCCATTTAATCATAACTAATTTTACCTCTTCATCTTTTGTCTCCCATTCTAATAGTATGCTGTATGCAGCCTTCACTTTCCCTTCAATCTCTTCCATTTGAAACCTAGATCTAGTATAACTAAATCCTTTCTTACTGTCTTCTTTATGTGTTTCATATAGTTGTCGATAACGCAACCAACTTTGAAAGTGGTCTCATCGTAATCTCTTAATTTCCATTTTCCATCATGGTCCTTTAATAAATCAACATATGTGAGCCATTTTCCTTTCTTTCCATGTGGTTTGAGCAGTAATGCTTCATGTGGTGTAAGCCACCACGGGTCTTTTGTTCCAATAAGTTTTTGTATCTCTCCCATACTCTCATTAGTGATTTCCTGATTATATGGTTGTAAAAACTTCTATGAACCTTCGCTTTCCCGTACCATAAGTATGCGTGCCAGCCGAATCTGTTGTCATGTCCTTCTAGTTCTAATGCCTCTTGCTTATCCAATCTCATCCAGTCCCTGATCCATACCAAACAAGCAGATTCATAATACAATTATGCTTCTGGTGGGTCTTGACCACTGCTGGACATGGGGGTAATGACAGAGCCCCACACAGAGCTGGCTGTCCTGTGTACCATGCCTTCAGCAGATCAAGACAAATAGCATTATTCACAAATGCACAATAGAAGTTCTCTCCGTCCCTCCAATTTACCTGTCCCCAAGAGCTGGAAACAAACTGGTAGGTTTCCTGCATAGTGGTGAGCAAGGAGAGGAATTCCTCATCTTTATATTCAAAGCGGTTGCCAAAGATGATGGAGCTGATGACGTTAGACACAGAGCGGCTCAGGATGTAGGTGGGGTCAAAGGGTGCACCTAAAAAGAGAGACCCCCCCGTCAAGTCACTCAGCCCAGGAACGAGTCAAGGCTACACTTGACTTGCAAAGCTGTCCAGTCCTTGCCTTATCCATGTTATGGGTTGAAATCTAGGCCTCAAGCATGACACAGAAACCTCACCGGAGTTGACCTTATGTCCATCTTAAGATGATGGGAGTGGTAGAAAACCACCTGAGCTAAAGGCCTCCAGGGAAAGCGCAGGACAGGATGATTTGGACCCGGGTTTGTGGTGGTGGGAGAAGGGCTGTCATATGGAGGATGGAGCAAGCTCCTTTTCTGCTGCTCCAGAGGGTAGGCCACATGTCGCAGATTTTTTAGCTGTGATTCCTGAATTGCAGGGTGTCATGGAGCTGGCAGGGAAGGCTCTGGAGCTGGAGGAGGAGGAGGGACGGGAGCCTGTAAAAGAGGCAGGAGTAACAGAGGGTGGAGATCAAGGGGAAGGCACTCAGGTGGCGGGAAGGCTCCATGATGTTAGTGAGCAGTAACACCTCTCTACCAGCTCAGGCACAGAGGGAGAGGCAATGCCAGTTCCTTCCGCACAGGACTGGAGAGGGTTAAAACGCAGGGAACAAAGAAGGTGTTTGGGATTGCCTAAGCTGCTTTATATGCCTGTTGTCTTTGTCCATGGAGTTTTCTTGGCAGGGATACTGGAGTGGCTTGCCAGTTCCTCCTCCAGGTGGATCACGTTTGGTCAAAACTCTCCACTATGACCTGTCCGTCTTGGGTGGCCCTGCACGGCATGGCTCATAGCTTCTCTGAGTTATTCAAGCCCCTTTGCCACGGCAAGGCAATGATCAAACTGCGAGAGGCAGTGGAAGACAGAAGTGCCTGGCGTGCTCTGGTCCAGGGGGTCACGAAGAGTCGGACACGACTAAATGACTAAACAACAACAACAACAAGCTGCTTTGCTGGAGGAGGAGCCAAAAGCTCCCACTTCCAGGATCTGCTACGGACAATTCGTACGCATGAAGCTATGCTCTGCATCTTGTAAATACATGTAAATAAAGACTGTAAATACATCTCTGAGTGAGCAGAGGTATTTCTTGCGAAAGGCTTCCCAAACCCATCACACAGGAGGATTGGTCAAGAAGACCAATCCTCTTGTGTGATGGGTTTGGGAATCCTCAAACCCTAAACTTCTGCACTAGATGAACCATTGGCTAGATTCAGAAGGAATTTCAGCAGGAATTTCTTATGTTCTTATACTGTGAGGTGAAGCAGCAGTGCTCAGCTTCTGAGCACTAACTCCTGGTCTCTGAACACTTGTCTGATTGTCTCAGCAACATCCTTGTGTAAAACTACATAGAATCATAGAATCATAGAGTTGGAAGAGACCACAAGGGCCATCGAGTCCAACCCCCTGCCAAGCAGGAAACACCATCAGAGCACTCCTGACATATGGTTGTCAAGCCTCTGCTTAAAGACCTCCAAAGAAGGAGGCTCCACCACACTCCTTGGCAGCAAATTCCACTGTCGAACAGCTCTTACTGTCAGGAAGTTCTTCCTAATGTTTAGGCGGAATCTTCTTTCTTGTAGTTTGGATCCATTGCTCCGTGTCCGCTTCTCTGGAGCAGCAGAAAACAACCTTTCTCCCTCCTCTATGTGATATCCTTTTATATATTTGAACATGGCTATCATATCACCCCTTAACCTCCTCTTCTCCAGGCTAAACATGCCCAGCTCCCTTAGCCATTCCTCATAAGGCATCGTTTCCAGGCCTTTGACCATTTTGGTTGCCCTCCTCTGGACACGTTCCAGTTTGTCAGTGTCCATGACCTTTCGTTTACTAAGAATCTACCACGGATCAACTTCAAGGTGTGAGTCCAGCTTCTAATATTATATGAGAGAGGGAGAGTTTCAATTCGCAGAAAGCACTATGTGTTTAATGGCGCTTTCCTTCATCTGTTATTTTCGCCCTCGGCGTTCATCAACAGCTCTCAAAATGGCTTACAGATGACCAACATTCAAACACTCGGTTCACTGTCAAACATTTCTATCACCTGTAACCCGTGAAGCAACATTTCTTGAAGTTACAAAAACTGAGCTCACTTTTTGTTTCCCTCAGGGATTCCAGCAGGAAATGGGCTTCCTCCAGGATCCGCTCTTCAATGGATCTCTTTCCCATCCCAAAATTCCTCAGCGTCGTGATGGAGAAGCGCTGTAGCTGTTTTTCCCGTTCCCCGTTACTGAAGCCAACCCCTGAGAAGCAAAGGAGTGAGGAATAAGGAGCAGGATTGAATGACATTGCGGCTGAAACCACAAAAGTATGGAGACCCCCCCAAATTTTTTTTTAGGTTTTTTGCTTTTTAGAATATGGTCTGGTTTGAAAGATCCAATTTCAGCTTTTGAGAGAACATTCTAAGTGTAAGGTGTGTGTGTGTGTGTGTGTGTGAGAGAGAGAGAGAGAGAGACTTCCCTCAGTAAGAGGGGTTTAACAATAATCTACTGCATAGGACCATGAGAAGGGCCAATAAGACTCTCCAGTGCTAAGCGTGATAGAAAGGGCATATAAATGCCAGTAATCATGTGCTCTGACCAAGGATTGCCCAAGAAGAGACTGACCGTAACCCTGGAAAAACCAGTCCAACGTGGCTTGTTCTCCACGGTCACTGAAATCTTCATCCTGATCCACCAGGGCCTCCTTCACGGCATCGTATCCGCACAAGACCACAGCACGGCGGGGCCCTAAGTGGATGGTGAAGACAGGACCATATTTCTCATGAATCTGTGAAAACAGAACACAAGGTGAGCCTGCTGGTCAGGTTAAAAGGGAGCACATCTAGAGTCCAGGATCCTGTTCTCAGAGTGGCCAACCAGATTCCCCTTCTGGTAAGATTACCAGATTTTTTTCAAAGAATCTGGGGACACTTTTTTTTTTTTGAAAAGAGAAAAAAAAGTTATTAAAAATGTTTATTTTCATTTTCCAAGTAATATCTTCTCTTCTGTGGTCTCCTCTGTCGTGCGGCCTTCCTCTGGGCCCCGTCCTGATCTCTTGGAGCGCTAGCCACCATGGAGTAGGCTCAGGTCGGGCCTGGACTCGGCCATGTGTCCTTGCCCTTCCGGTGTTCTCTTACCTCTCCTCAGCGGTGGCAGTGGCATTGGTGTGGCAAGGTCAGGGCTCCCCTCTTTTTTCTCCTTCCTCTTTCTCTCTCTTCCTTCTCCTTCTCCTCTCCTCCTTCTCCCTGCACCGGCTCCAGAGTTTTCCTGGTTCCGGAGTGCCACTGGGCAGTTGGCCAGGTGGCCATGTGCCCTCGCTCCCGGCTCGATTTTGGTTGCAGGAGGGTCAGTGGTTCCCCCAGTTGAAGCGCCAGGTTCCTCCTTGGCAGTGGCAGCAGCTGCGGCCGTATCAGCAGCCCGGAGCCAGCCTGGTAGCGCAGTTGGCTCTGGCTGGCTTCAGGAGCTGCTTGCTGCCATGGCGCCTGCCATTTTGCCTCACCAGAAGTCCCCATATGATGTGTCTTGTGCCGTTGAAACCCATCACGCAACATTCATTCCCTACTAATAAATCTACAATACTTCAAATATAAATGCGGGGACATTAAATGAAATCCGGGAACATTCTGGGGACAGATTTTGTCCGGGGACAGATTTGTAAATCCAGGGACATTAAATGAAATCTGGGAACATTCTGGGGACAGATTTTGTCCGGGGACAGATTTGTAAATCCGGGGACTGTCCCTGGGAAACGGGGACATCTGGTAACCATACCTTCTGGGAAACCTTCAAGCAGGTGTGGTTTCCAGAAACTGGTATTCAGAGGCATTGCTGCCTCCAACTGCGGAGGCAACGCAGTTCCATTGCGGCTATCAGCTATCGGCACTTCCCTCCATTTCCACACACCGTTAGGCAGAGGGATGGAGAGGGAGAATCAAAGTTGCAATGAGACAAGAGAGAAGGCTGGGTTGGCAGACTGGAGTGATCTTCATTCACCATCAGCATATAATAATGATTTTCTAACCACAATTCAGAAAATGGATAACTGTGCTCTGACGCATCATAGAACAGAGCTTTCCAAACCTTTCATGTTGTCGACACACCTTTAAAGACATGTGTCGTTTCGCAACACAGTCATTCAGTATGAGTAGCAAACTGGACGTTAAACTAACCCCTTTCCAGCCCTGGGAGGAGTGGAGAGACATCTCCATACTGCAGCCAACACGCTAATGTCGTGACACACAGTTTGAAAAGCTCTGTTACAGAAAGTTACCTTCATGAGTGAATGGTACATATCACTTGTGTTGACTTGGAGCAGGTTCCCGATGAAGGGGAGGGGAGTTGGTCCAGGTGGCATCTGGCTTTTGCGGTGCATCTGCCGCCATGTTGAGAGGACCATCAGGCAAGAGAGGCAGATGACCAGGAAAAGGGCCGCTGCTCCCAGGAGATCCATGGGGAGGTTGCGGGTGGCCTGTGGAGCTCTACAGGCAATGTGTTGCTGACCAGCTGGGAAGAGAAAATACCTGCGCAGCCCGAGTTGAGCCTGTTACATACCTTTGGAAGAACCTCCTCCTTGAAATTGTGCAACCTGTTTACTCTCTGCTCAGGGTCTTCTTTCAAGTCAAGACAAGACCTTCCAGAGCAAAGTTCAGATGGACAGATAGTGGAGACAGGGAGTTGCCTGTCCAGGTCTGCACCACCACGGGAGCTTCAAGGAGTCAAGCACTATTCTCTCACATAATTTCTCAGAATTCTGTATCACTTGACAGGGTCTCTGCTGGTGTAAGACTAAGAGGAGAGCAGCAGAGATAGAACCGTAGAATTGTAGAGTTGGAAGGGACCCCAAGGGTCATCTAGTCCAACCCCCTGCAATGCAGGAATCTCAGCCACAGAATCCCTGACAGATGGGCCTCCAACATCTGTTTACAAAACTCCAAGGAAAGAGAGTCCACCACCTCTCACGGGAGTCTGTTCCACTGTCGAACAGCTCTTAGAAAACTGTTAGAAAGTTCTTCCTGATGTTTAGTTGGGATCTCATAATTTGAAGGTTCCCTTTCAGAGCGGGAGAAAACAAGCTTGCTCCATCTTCCATGTGTCAGCCATTCAGATGTTCGAAGATGGGTGGACTATATGGAACTTGCCGAACTGACTGGGAGACTCCGGGACCAGAGAGAAGAGACGGTGGAAGAAGTTTAAAGAATATTTTTAAAAAAATGTTATTATTTAAATCTTAGAATAGCTTTGAAAGTGGATATAGGCTGTAGGGTTAGCAGTAGAAAATAGTGTATTTTAAAATAGTATTATTTGTAAGGGATAATATGTGAAGATTATAATGGTAAAAGTAAGTGTGATTTTTAAAAATGGTTAAAAATTATGATATATGTAAACTGCTAAAGATGAGGTAAAATGAAAATCAGATGGGGAGACCTGGGGAAGCTTACTTAACAATGTTTAGAAAAAATAAGGATAAGTCTTGACAGACTCTAGGGTTGTGCGCCCATCTCACTCTAGAGGCCGGGGGCCAGCGCTGTCCGGAGACACTTCCGGGTCACGTGGCCAGCGTGACATCGCTGCTCTGGCAAGCCAGAGCCACACATGGAAACACCGTTTACCTTCCCGCTAGTAAGCGGTACCTATTTATCTACTTGCACCCGGGGGTGCTTTCGAACTGCTAGGTTGGCAGGCGCTGGGACCGAGCAGCGGAAGCACACCCCACCGCGGGGATTCGAACCGCCGACCTTTCGATCGGCAAGCCCTAGGCGCTGAGGCTTTTACCCACAGCGCCACCCGCGTCCCTCACTGTAAATAGTTTGCACTAATAATAAAGCCTGGAAAAGACAGGTTGGAGTCTTCCTGTTTGCTCTCAAGCAACCACACCACCACCTGACAGGAGTTTGGACTTTGAAGACTCCTTCATGTGCCCAGAAAGTTCCCTTCTTCAGAAATGTGAACAGCCCAGGTCTGAACAAGAGCCCATCCCCATTTGGAGCCTAGCCAACTAACCCAAGAAGAATTGGACTGTTGGTATTCTGAAAATGCAATATTATTTCTCTGCCTGTTGGGTGCCTGAGTCAACTTTCCCCAAACTTTGAAGCACACGTTGCAAAGAATCTCCCATCTGATAATTCAAGAGAGAGTATCACATGTGATATTTTGGACAGTCGCAAATAATTTAGACAACACAGTTGAGAAGGAGCATCTTCTTCTTTCCCTTTTTTAAAGGGGGAGTGTGGCAAATGTGTTTGAATCTTTTACATGAAATTGCAAGAGACCCAGCCCTATCTTCCTCTGACTCAGGTGGCTACACTTCCTGATATTTTGCCTAGATATAAAGAAGATAAACATATAGTTGAGAAGCGGATAAAAGGTACTTTGTAAGCGATAATCCTTTCTCTAGGACTAGTCGCCTCTTTGAAGGAAACAAAGTTGGAAATTTGAATTAAACTTTCTGCTCATGACTCTGTGAGCATAGAATAGATCAATAAGGTTCAATAGTCAGGGGGCATAATATAGAGGGTAGAGTCAACTGTTCTACAAGAAAGTGGAGTGGAAGGACAGCTCCAAAGTGAAATCTGTGATCTCTTTATTCACAACATGGGAACAGCAGCTGACATTAGAATTTTGAGGGATGCTTTTACAGCTGTGATTCTGGTACGCCTTATAAATAGAAGTACAGGTAAAAGAAGAGAATAGAGAACCAAGACAAAATATTTGATCTTGCAGCTTCCTCAATTAGGGGTGCAGCAGAAAAATGAACATTCACAAGAAATAAGGCAGCAAGATACTAAACATGTATACAAAGAAGTAATTCCAGAAAATGGGAAAATGTTAAACATTGCCATTGCTAAAATTATGGGTGTGTGGACATTAGGTGTGCATGTGTGTGTGTGTCTGCTTTTGGGTGGCCAAGTTGGGTGATGATGGGTATCTGCTTCTCCAAAACACCTGACCACCTTCAGAGGGGAATGGCACACATCTCATAAAAATGCGGAAGGGTGGCAAAGCCAACCAGCATGGGAGAGATGTCGATCTTTTCCGGAGGGACGGGAGATTTGAAGCGGAAGTTCTGCAGGATGCTGGTGAGGATGAGGAAGAGCTCCATCCGAGCGAGGTGCTCCCCAAAGCAATAGCGTTTCCCTAGGAAAGAGGAGGAAGGTGAATACAGGCTTTCAGGGTGCTGTTAGACATGACTCAGCAGTGGATTGGAATGGAAGGAGACTCACTCACCGACGGAGAATGGCATAAAAGCCTTATTCCTCTTGAACTGCCCGTTCTCATCCAGGAAATGTTGGGGGTCAAACACATCTGGCCTTGCAAAATATTTGGGGTCTCTCAGCACAGATCCAAGCACAGGGAAGACTTCAGTCCCCTGACCAAGAGAGGGAGAGAATCTTAGAATCATACAATTGTAGAGCTGGAAAGGACCATGTGGACCAACCAGTGCAGCCACCTGTGATGAAGAGATCTCAACTAAAGCATCCATGGCAGATGGACATCCAACCTCAGTTGAAAAACCTTGATGGAAAGAGATTCCACCACCTTCTAAGGGAGCCCTTTCCACAGCCTCAAAGCTCTTACCATCAAAGAGTTCTTCCTGATGAGAAGGAGAGGGGGAAATGGCTTTTAGAGGGTTAGAATTAACCCCGTTAAGCCCCATAACCACCACTACTCCTTTGGGGAAGGTAGCACTAGAAGATGTGGAACCAACATCGCGTCATTTGGCTGGGCTCTTTAGGTCTTATTTTGGATTTGCTTGGATACCCCCACAATGATGATGGCAGACAGGTCAGAGACGGAGGTGCCTCAGAGGAATTTGTTAGCCCACAAAACATGTCTGGAAATTGTACTGAACGGTGGAGTATAAGTCTCAGGAATGAGTGAAACCAAAATACCTTGGGAATGGTGTATCCCCGGAACTGGGTATCACGGATCACACGTCTTGCTAACCCCAAAGGGAGCATGTCAGCGAATCTCTGGATCTCGTGGATCACAGCATCCGTATAGGGCATCAGGGGACGGTCATCCATCTTGGGAATGCGATTCAGGCCAATCACACGTTCAATCTCTTCGTGGATCTTCTCTGTTGAGAAATCAGCAGGATGTGACAAAAAGTGTCCATTTGCACCTTCATAACTGGCAAAAACAAAGAGATTTCTCCACCCTCCTTTACAGCTACTTCTGCATTCACCTTCAATTTCCGGGTATTTCAGTAGAAGCAGGAAGCCATAGCGCAAGGTGGTGCTGACTGTTTCCGTGCCAGCAAAGAAGATATTGAGGGTTGTCATAATTAGATTCTCTAGGAAGAACTCTGAGTTTGGGTTTTCCTTTTCCTAGCAAGAAGAAAAATGAGAAAAGAGGATATTTCACATATTATATTTTGCGATAGGCTACAATCTGACTGCCTCCTATCTATGAAGCTCTCTCTCCCCTACTGATTGGCTGAGCTGCAGTGATGTCATGCAATGAGGGGAATGGTCAGTTGTGGAGTGCTGAAAAGCAGCCCAATGATTGTGTGGGAAACAGAGGGTTGGGTGTAGTGGGAGGAAGGAGTCACATAGTCCTTTTGTGCAGAAAGGCTACAGAGGCAAGGGAGAAGTGCCTGCTGAATCAGGCCCATCTAGTCCAGCATCCTGTTCTCACAGCAGCCAACCAGATGATCCACTGGGAAGGAGGGTCTGAGCACAAGAGCCCTCTTCCCTCCCGTGGTTTCCAAAAACCAGTATTCAGAAGCATGGTTGCAACCACCTGCAGAGAGCAGGGCACAGCCATCCTGGCCAGTAGTCTTCAATAGAACTCTCCTCATCAATGTGTCGAATCTTCTTTTAAAGCCATCCCTAAAATTCCTGGTGTGCTATAAGCTTAGGGAGAAGGTAATGAAAATGATTTATAGATGGCACCACACTCCAGCAAAACTTGCGAAAATGTATAAAGGCAGATCACCTGGAAATGCAAAAAAGAGACAGGGTCATACTTACACATGTGGTGGAACTGCACAGTCATCCGTGAATTTGGGGATAAATTATACAATGACTTCAAAAAGTTATTTAGATTTACATTCGGAAAAAGGCCAGAAGCCTTCCTCCTAGGTATAGTGACACTGGAAATAGGAAAAGATATAAGGCCGTTGTTTTGTCAGCATCGCCCTTGAGCCAGTGCCACGAACTGGACTCATCCACTTCAGCCCGACTGGGCTAGGCGAGCTGGGTAGCACTTCCAGAGACCACCTTCTGCACAGGAACAGGTCAAAGTGCTGTGGACTCACAGCTTAGAGTTGTGAGCACCGGAATCACTCCAACAAGAAGACAGTCGTCGCACAGCAGAGTACAGCAGAGTCTAGCAGAGTATATAAATGACTCGGAGAGCAGCTCTGTAGAATATCTTCTTTATTCTATAACTACAACTATAATACAACTATATACAGAGCTAAGTAGGTCTAAGCATAAATGAATGAGGTCTAAGTAGGTCTAAGCATAAATGAGTGTCTGCAGCTGCTCTTAGCAGCAACCTTATCTAAACACACAATCTCTCTCTAACACTCTCTCTCTCCCACACACTGACTGACTGACTCTTTGATGTGGTGCTGGCGCAGAATAAGTAGAGAGCAGAACAGGCCTCCTCCTCTCTGGAGAATCAGCAGACTCCTCAGGAGATTCTTGGATATGGGAGGGGTGAAATCTCCTCATGTTTATGTATGGAACTACAGCAGCCAGAATATAAATGGTAAGAAATTGGAAAAATGAAACAGTACCCACGATAACAGAAAGGCAGACTCTTACAATTGAATACCTACAACTGGCAAAGATGACGGGGACAGTAAGATGGCTTTACAATCAGAAAGTATACAAAGAGTGGAAAATATTCAATGATTACTTAAATACACACTGTACAAGTAACAAGCTCCTTGCAGAATTAAATTGATCCTTGTAAAACACAATGTGTAAATGCTAATTTACCAGAGTACAGGAAGATAAATTAGGGCAAAAGAAGGCTATGCGTTAAATGTAAATAACAATACAAGTACAATGAGAAGAATTGGAAGTCTCTTATTTAGAAATTTAACGAACGATTATATAATAATGCAAATTTCTTTTTTCGGTGTGTTTTATTCCTTTTTCTCTCTCTTTTCTTCTTAATCTTTTTGTTTGATCTTTATGTATGTATATATGCATGTGTATATATTTGTATTTTAATTCAATAAAGATTTATAAAGAAAGAAAGAAAGAAAGAAAGAAAGAAAGAAAGAAAGAAAGTCTATAAAGTTTCCTTACACAGAAATCGATCGTAGTAACTAGAATAACGTAATCTTACCTGCTGCATTTTCACTAGGAAGCAGTCAATGAAATCCCGAGGATTGTTGGGGTCCAGGGTCTCCTTGTTTTCTTTTACCTTCCTTTTAATGAATTCCTTCAGGCCCAACAGCTTCTTGAAGGTTTTATCTTGTGGGCCAGGCAGGTGCTTCATGATGCCTGAGAACATCTCGTAGAGCTGCGTGTGTTGGGTTTGGAGGAATCCAGAGTTATCAGGAGGAAGAGAGAGAATAGATATTGAACAAAGATTGATTTGGGGAGCAGGCAGAAGCAGGAGTTCCTCCCTCCCTTGGTTCCTCGTTATCATGGAAGGTTTGGGAAAACAGGAGGCTTAAAAGAAGGGAGACTGGAGAAGTGTCACTCCAAGAAGAACAGACAGAGGGAACTCCTCACTCCACCCAGACAGAACTTGGTGCTGACTAAGCTATGAATTTGTCACAGACACAACCTCAGGGCCTTACTTCCCATCTTTGAGGGACAAGGAAGGCAATTTGGAGGGAAAATCAGGGTGTGTGGTGGAATTGCTTACAAAGCCAGCAGCTTCAATATCTCAATCTGGAATTATCTCAGGTTGAAGCAACATTGTAAACATTGTAAACAGAAGGTACTCCTGACTCCACCCAGATATAACTTGGTGCTGACTAAGCCATAAACTTGTCACGGACAAAACCTCAGGGCCTGACTTGTCCTCTCTGACTGACAAGGAAGGCAATTTGGAGGAAGAATCAGGGGGTGGGGAGGAATTGCTTACAAAGCAAGCAGCTTCAGTTTCTCAATCTGAGAATCGCTCTGGTTGAAGCAACATTGTAAACTTGCTCCAGGCTGAGCCAGACCAAAGAGCAAGGTAGAACAGGAGTTGCAGCACCATGGACAGTGGTGGCTGTCCTGCATACCATGCCTTGAGTAAATTAAGAGAAATTGCATTATTCACAAATAAGTCCTCCACTTCCCCTCCAATTTACCTGCCCCCAAGATGTGGAAGTAAACTGGAAGGTTTCCAGCATAACGCGGAGCATGGAGAGAAACTCCTGATCTTCATATTCAAAGCGGTTGCCAAAGGTGATGGAGCTGATGATGTTGGACACTGAGCGGCTCAGGACATAGGTGGGGTCAAAGGGTTCACCTAGAAAGAGAGACCCCCAAGTCACTCAGCCCTGGAGCAAGTCAAGACTACCCTTTGCAAATCAATTCAGTCTTTAATGGTGTTTTCTTTCTTCTGCCTGTTTCTCCCTCACCATTCAACTAAAGCTCTCAAGGTGGCTTACAGAATATTAATTAGAAGAGTATACGCATAAAAACCACAATTACTACTTTCTGTAACAACTCATGGAACATCATCAAAATTAAACCAAAAGATTCAGTTTATCAGCATTCAAATTCTCAGTTAACCGTCAACAGTTTCAATCATATCATATCATATATCATATCATATCATATCATCATATCATATCATCATATCATATCATATCATATCATATCATATCAATCTTTATTACGGTCCAGAGACCCAAGAAATCATTACAAAGCAATGCACAATTCAAACAGCCTATCTCCAGGTTAAACAAGCATTTTGTTCCGACTTAAAGATAGGGATCATTGGTTGTTGCAACCACTGATAAAAGCATCACCACTGCTAATGTTCTAGCATTTGTCCAGTCTTCCAATAGGAACCTGACATAGTGAGCCTCTGATTTTCCCAGGAAAGGTACCAGCAAGAAGAAGAAGAAGAGTTTGGGTTTGATATCCCGCTTTATCACTCCCCTTCAGGAATCTCAAAGCGGCTAACATTCTCCTTTCCCTTCCTCCCCCACAACAAACACTCTGTGAGGTGAGTGGGGCTGAGAGAATTCAGAGAAGTGTGACTGGCCCAAGGTCACCCAGCAGCTGCATGTGGAGGAGCGGAGACGCGAACCCGGTTCCCCAGATTACGAGTCTATCGCTCTTAACCACTACACCACACTGGCAAGGGTAATATCAGTTCAGCCCTGGCTTGCTCATATTTCGCACAGTGCAACAAAATATGTTTTAAAGAATCGATATCTTGAGCACATGAGCAAAGTCTGTCCTGGTAGGGAACTCCTCTCAACCTGCCATCCGTCTATAACTATGCCACATTTCTTGAAGAAACCAAAACTGAGCTCACTTTTTGTTTCCCTCAGGGATTCCAGCAGGAAGTGGGTCTCCTCCAGGATCCGCTCTTCGATGGATCTCTTTCCCATCCCAAAATCCCTCAGTGTCGTGATGGAGAATCGGCGTAGCGGTTTGGCCCGTTCCCAGTTACAGAAGGCAACCCCTGAGAAGCAAAGGAGGAGTAAAGGGAAGGAGGAACAGGAGAAGGTGCACTCAGTGGGAATGTGGCTGAAAACACACAGTGATAGAGATATCCACCCTTCATTTTCCAATCTTCTACAGTTTTAAAGTTCAAAATTTGGGAGAACAGCCTAAGATATGATGTGGGGTTTTATTGTTGTTATTATTATTATAGAGGGAGAGAGACTCTTTGGCTCATTTACCTCCTCAGTAAAATGGATATAAGGGGACGTGGGTGGCGCTGTGGGTCAACCCACAGAGCCTAGGACTTGCCAATCAGAAGGTTGGCAGTTCGAATACCTGCGACGGGGTGAGCTCCTGTTGCTCAGTCCCTGCTCCTGCCAACCTAGCAGTTCGAAAGCACGTCAAAGTGCAAGTAGATAAATAGGTACCACTCCGGTGGGAAGGTAAACGGCGTTTCCATGCGCTGCTCTGGTTCGCCAGAAGCGGCTTAGTCATGTTGGCCACATGACCCGGAAGCTGTACGCCAGCTCCCTCGGCCAATAAAGCGAGATGAGCGACTGGACCTAATGGTCAGGGGTCCCTTTACCTTTACCTAAAATGGGTATAACAATAATCCATGGCACAGAACCACCATTGAGACTCTCCGGTGCTAAGCTTGCTAAAAGGTGCCTTATAAATGCCAGTAATCATGTGCTCAGGCCAAGAATTGCCCAAGAAGAGACTGACCGTAACCCTGGAAAAGCCAGTCAAACGTGGCTTGCTCTCCACGGCCCCTGAACTCTTCAGCCTGATCCACGAGGGCCTCCTTCACGGCATCGTATCCACACAAGACCACAGCACGGCGGGGCCCTAAGTGGATGGTGTAGACAGGACCATATTTCTCATGAATCTGTGAAAACAGAACACAAGGTGAGCCTGCTGGTCAGGTTAAAAGGGGGCACATCTAGAGTCCAGGATCCTCTTTTCAGAGTGACCAACCAGATGCCCATTATGGGAAACCTTCAAGCTGAACACAAGAGCGCTCTCCCCCGTGTGGTTTCCAGAATCTGGTTTCCTCCAACTGCGGAGGCAACGCAGATCCATTGTGGCTATCAGCTATTGGCATTTCCCTCCATTCCCACTTTCCATGAAGCAGAATAATGAAGTGAGAGAATCTGTATCTACAGCACCAAAGTGACCTCTCTGGGGTGCAAGCCTGTGCGGTGTGTAGGGGGGTCCTGGGCTGCCCAGACGGCAAGACCCCCCTCTCAGCCTTCCTGATGTGGTCCGAGGGAAAACAGAGCAATACACTTGGCAACAGCTTGGCTGCGGGAGTTGCTGGAAGGAGAAGAAGAAGAGTTTGGATTTGATATCCCACTTTATCACTACCCAAAGGAGTCTCAAAGCGGCTAACATGCTCCTTTCCCTTCCTCCCCCACAACAAACACTCTGTGAGGTGAGTGGGGCTGAGAGAATTCAGAGAAGTGTGACTGGCCCAAGGTCACCCAGCAGCTGCATGTGGAGGAGCGGGGAAGCGAAACCGGTTCACCAGCTTATGAGTCCACCGCTCTTAACCACTACACCACGCTGGCTCACACTGGAAAGAGGCATACAAGGCACCATCCATGCGCCTTAGGGACTCCACTCTGGATTTGCATATGGCTTAATCCTTATCCCCCAAAGATATCCCACAAGGCAGTGGGTCCAGATCCGCCCCCTCGGGGTTTACTCCTGAATCCTTTCCCATGAATCCTTTCCCAAGTAGGAGGCCCAGGGCTCGCTCTGATTGTTTAGAAATACACAATCGCTTTGAAGTCCTCTCCCCTAGCATGGAAGACAAAGAACAGACTCCATTTGAGGATTTCTCCCTCATTACAGTCGATCAGGTATATGAAGACGAGCAGCAAAGTCAGTCCTCAAGGAATGTGCAGGCGACCTTGGAACGGACAGCTCACGGAAGAACCCCGACCAAACCTAAGAGAAGGCGTGTAGTGGTGATAGGGGATTCCCTACTAAGGGGAACAGAAGCAGTGATCTGTGGGCCTGACAAGATGTCTTGGGAGGTGTGCTGTCTCCCCGGGGCTAAGATGCAAGATGTAACTGAACGACTGCAAGGAATCATAAAACCCACTGACAAATACCCCTTCCTCTTGGTTCATGTGGGAACCAATGACACTGCAAGCGATAGCCTCCAGAAGATCAAAAGAGACTACGAGGCTCTGGGCAGGAAATTGAAGCAATTAAATGCACAAATTGTCATCTCATCTGTCCTCCTAGTTGAACGACGTGGCCCAGGGAGAGAGGGAAAAATAGTGGAAGTGAACAGCTGGCTTCGCAAATGGTGTAAACAGGAACGGTTTGGATTCTTAGATCACGGACTGCAGTTTCTTGAAGATGGACTTCTAGCAAGCGATGGGCGGCACCTCACAACGGTTGGGAGGAATGTTTTTGCCAAAAATCTCAGAAACCTCATCAGGAGGGCTTTAAACTGACTAATGTGGGGGAGGGAGACAGTGCTCCTGAAGGTAGGAGTCTATCAATTGATGAAGATGATCATCCAAATGTCATAGACCAAATGGAGCAAACAGCACGCAGACCTAGTGGTGGGAGGAAAAAATCCTTAAATAAGAGACACGGGGGAATGATTAATGGACTTCAATGTCTGTACACTAATGCACAAAGCATGGGAAATAAACAAGATGAGCTTGAGCTCTTGGTACAGCAAACTACTGTAAATATGACATAATAGGCATCACTGAAACCTGGTGGGATAAGTCCCATGATTGGAATGTAATAATGGAGGGATACAATCTATTTCAGAGAAACAGACCAGACAAGAAAGGAGGAGGAGTGGTGTTATATGTCAGGGATGTGTATACCTATGAAGAGATCCAAGATTTAGAACCTCAAATCCAAAGTGAGAGCATTTGGGTCAAAATTAAGGGAGAGAAGAATAACAGAGACCTCATTGTGGGAGTTTACTATAGATCCCCAAGCCAAACGGAGGACATAGATGATGCCTTCCTGGAACAGATGGCCAAGCATGCAAAAGGAAGGGAGATGGTAGTAATGGGGGACTTCAATTACCCGGATATTTGTTGGATGTCAAACTCAGCCAAGAGCATAAGGTCAAACAGATTCCTCACTGGCCTTGCAGACAACTTCATTGTCCAGAAAGTGGGAGAAGCAACAAGAGGAACAGCCATTTTAGATCTGGTCCTAACCAATGTTGATGACCTGGTTAGTGGGGTAGAAGTGGAAGGATCATTAGGCACGAGTGATCATGCTCTTCTGAAGTTTACTATACAGCGGAAAGGAGCAGCCAAGCATACTAGGACTCAATTTCTTGACTTTAAGAAAGCCGACTTCATAAAACTTAGGGAAGTGTTGGGTGAGATCCCATGGACAGTAATACTAAAAGGAAAGGGAGTTCATGATGGCTGGGAGTTTGTTAAGAGGGAGATAGTAAAAGCACAACTTCAGGCAATACCAATGAGACGGAAACATGGAAGGTGCCTAAAGAAGCCAGGGTGGCTATTTAAAGAACTTTTAACTGAGTTAAGATTAAAAAAGGATGTGTACAAAAAATGGAAAAGGGGGGAAACCACCAAAGAGGAATTCAAACAAATAGCCAGCACATGTAGACACAAAGTCAGAAAAGCTAAAGCACAGAATGAACTCAGGCTTGCTAGAGAGGTTAAAAGCAACAAAAAAGGCTTTTATGGGTATGTCCGTAGCAAAAGGAAGAACAAAGAAACAGTGGGGTCACTCAGAGGAGAAGATGGTGAAATGCAAACAGGGGACACAGAAAGGGCTGAACTCCTCAATGCCTTCTTTGCCTCAGTCTTCTCCGATAAAGAAAACAATGCCCAACCTGAAGAATTTGGAGCAAATGATTCAGCAGAGGAAACACAGCCCAGAATAACTAAGGAGATAGTACAATAATACTTGGCTAGTTTAGATGTATTCAAGTCTCCAGGGCCAGATGAACTGCATCCAAGAGTATTAAAAGAACTGGCAGATGTGATCTCAGAACCACTGGCAGTCATCTTTGAGAATTCCTGGAGAACAGGCAAAGTCCAGGCAGACTGGAGGAGGGCAAATGCTGTCCCTATTTTCAAAAAGGGGAAAGAGAGGACCCAAATAATTATTGCCCAGTCAGTCTGACATCAATACCAGGGAAGATTCTGGAGCAGATCATTAAGCAAACAGTCTGTGAGCACCTAGAAAGGAATGCTGTGATCACCAATAGTCAGCATGGATTTCTGAAAAATAAGTCATGTCAGACTAACCTGATCTCGTTTTTTGACAGAATTACAAGCCTGATAGATGAAGGGAACGCAGTGGATGTAGCCTACCTTGATTTCAGCAAGGCATTCGACAAGGTGCCCCATGATATTCTTGTAAAGAAGCTGGTAAAATGTGGTCTTGACTATGCTACCACTCAGTGGATTTGTAACTGGCTGACTGACCGAACCCAAAGGGTGCTCATCAATGGTTCCTCTTCATCCTGGAGAAGAGTGACTAGTGGGGTGCCACAGGGTTCTGTCTTGGGCCCGGTCTTATTCAACATCTTTATCAACGACTTGGATGATGGACTCAAGGGCATCCTGATCAAATTTGCAGATGACACAAATTTGGGAGGGGTGGCTAACACCCCAGAGGACAGGATCACACTTCAAAACGACCTTGACAGATTAGAGAACTGGGCCAAAACAAACAAGATGAACTTTAACAGGGAGAAATGTAAAGTATTGCACTTGGGCAAAAAAAATGAGAGGCACAAATACAAGATGGGGGACACCTGGCTTGAGAGCAGTACATGTGAAAAGGATCTAGGAGTCTTGGTTGACCACAAACTTGACATGAGCCAACAGTGTGACGCGGCAGCTAAAAAAGCCAATGCAATTCTGGGCTGCATCAATAGGAGTATAGCATCTAGATCAAGGGAAGTAATAGTGCCACTGTATTCTGCTCTGGTCAGACCTCACCTGGAGTACTGTGTCCAGTTCTGGGCACCACAGTTCAAGAAGGACACTGACAAACTGGAACGTGTCCAGAGGAGGGCAACCAAAATGGTCAAAGGCCTGGAAACGATGCCTTATGAGGAACGGCTAAGGGAGCTGGGCATGTTTAGCCTGGAGAAGAGGAGGTTAAGGGGTGATATGATAGCCATGTTCGAATATATAAAAGGATGTCATATAGAGGAGGGAGAAAGGTTGTTTTCTGCTGCTCCAGAGAAGCGGACACGGAGCAATGGATCCAAACTACAAGAAAGAAGATTCCACCTAAACATTAGGAAGAACTTCCTGACAGTAAGAGCTGTTCGACAGTGGAATTTGCTGCTAAGGAGTGTGGTGGAGCCTCCTTCTTTGGAGGTCTTTAAGCAGAGGCTTGACAACCATATGTCAGGAGTGCTCTGATGGTGTTTCCTGATTGGCAGGGGGTTGGACTCGATGGCCCTTGTGGTCTATTCCAACTCTATGATTCTATGATTCTATGAATGAGTGTAACCGTGAAGCAGAGGAGGTTTAGGATCAGAGTTCTCCTAGATTGTCTACCTTCTCAGGTTGATGAGCCCCTTCTGCTCCCATTTCTCCCTTCATGCAGAAACTGCTTTCTTGACTGTTGGACCTGCTGTTGGTCTCTGTCTGCTGCAGCCCATCATTGCATACAAGGCACCTCCCTAACTCACTGAGGGTTTGCAACCCATTGGATCCCTTCACCTGTTTTAGCTGGTGAGTTTCCTGGGGTCTGGCCACTGTCACATGCTGACAGCTTCTAATTATGTTATGTTATGTTATGTTATGTTATGTTATGTTATGTTATGTTATGTTATGTTAGTTATGTTATGTTTTATGTTATGTTTTATGTTATGTTATGTTATGTTATGTTGTTATGTTATGTTATGTTGTTATGTTTTATGTTATGTTATGTTATGTTGTTATGTTATGTTATATTATATTATTATATTATTATTATATTTTCTATACCACCCTAGACCTGAAGGTCTCAGCTTCTCGGAGCCATGGAGGGGAGGGGGAATTAACAACCCCAAAGGAACATGCTGTGTCCCCCACCAGGTATACTGCTTCTCCCCAACACCTCATATACCTCAGAGAGAGAATCAAAAGCTGGAGAATGTGGTGGAAGGAGAATTATGAAGAGATGATGAGTCAAGTGGGAGAGAGAGAGAGAGAGAGAGAGAGAGAGAGAGAGAGAGAGAGAGAGAGAAGGGTGGTTGGGCGGATTGTATGGAGTGATCTTCATTCAGCATCAGTATATAAAAGCGATTTGAGCAGAGAGCAGAGCAGAGAGTGGATAACTGAAACTGAAGTTACCTTCATGAGAGAACGGTATATGTCACTTGTGTTGACTTGGAGCAGGTTTCCAATGAAGGGGAGGGGAGTTGGTCCAGGTGGCATCTGGCTTTTGCGGTGCATCTGCCGCCATGTTGAGAGGACCGTCAGGCATGAGAGGCAGATGACCAGGAAAAGGGCCGCTGCTCCCAGGAGATCCATGGGGAGGTTGTGGGTGGCCTGTGGAGCTCTACAGGCAATGTGTTGCTGACCAGCTGGGAAGAGAAAATACCTGCGGAGCCTGAGTTGAGCCTGTTACATACCTTTGGAAGAACCCCCTCCTTGAAATTGTGCAACTTGTTTACTCTCTGCTCAGGGTCTTCTTTAAGTCTTTCAAGGACAGATAGTGGTGACAGGGAGTTGCCTGCCACCTTTGCACCTCCAAGGGAGCTTCAGGGAGTTCCAGAGTCAAGCACAATTCTCTCACCACGTTTCTCAGAAGTCCGTTTCATTTGACCAGGTCACTGCTGGTGTAAGACTAGGAGGAGAGCAGCTGAGAAAGAGGCTGCAAAGGGGTCACTGCAGCAGTAATAGAGTAGTCCAGAGAGTGAATGATAGAGACAGTATCCCATAATCAAATTCAAGGGCAGCCCCACATAAACTGCATTGTGGCAGTCACCACCAAAGGTGTAAGCAGAGCAGGAACAGGCAGGGGGAAAGCATCACCATTTATTTCACAGGAGGAATGCAGCACCATTTGTCAAACACACACACACACACACACACACACACACACACACACACACACACACTGTAATGCTTATGGGTTGCTCGTGCATAAGCTGCCGCCTCTCCAGGCTAAATTGCCTTGTTAAACCTTTCTGACCGGACAGCCCTTCTCACTGTGGCTGCCTCAGTTGCTAGCAGAATCCGTCAGTGGGCATTTCTTAAACCTCTTCCAACATAAAAGTTGTTTGACGCCCAGTCTCCTCCTACTTTCACTGCGCGCAAGCCTTCTGTGCAGGGAGGGCGCGGGTAGCGGAGGACCTGTGCTCTCCCTGCTGGTGTCCAGTGAAGAGTCCTGGAGCCCTCTCGCCGATTCCCCCATCTGCCCCCCTTTATCCCTGGTGTTGCGCTGATTTGCTTCCCCCTCTACTGAGCTGCCTCTCTCCCTGCTGGGCCCTTCTCCAGCATCATCTGAGAGCCTTCTCTTCGCCTCTAGCTCCGATGTCAGTTCCCTGACACACACACACACGAAGTTTTCTCAGGGAGAAGCTCGTCAAATAAGCCAAGCATTGAAAAGGGGTGGTGACATATGCAGGCATGGCCACTTTTACCTTGAAAACCCTCAAAGTCCCTTTATTGGGGCCAACCCAGAATGTCACAAAAAACTGCGCAAGCCTCCGAGTCCAGCAGGACTCTTTATCAGGCTGGATGTTAAGCACAACGGGGGCAATTGGGAATTATGGGGAGAAATACGATTTGGTATTAAAAACATAAGGCCTGCCTTGATTTTTGCTGCATAGCCTTCAAAAAGGCATGGCTATGGAGGTTGTCATGTCAAGCACATGCTCTTGAGAGATCAGTTTTCCAGAACACTCGGAGACTGGGGCATTTGAACAGAAATAGCACTGGGACGGTTAGGCTGAGGGCTTGTTCCAGTGGACAGAGAACGTTAGTGTGCAGTTCTCATAAGCTCACCTGAAAAGGGACATTTTAGAGTTGGGAAAAGGCTCAGGAAAGGATGACTAAGATGATCAAGGGGATTGAGCAACTTCGTTATGATGAAGGTTGCAGCCTTTTTAGTTTAGAGAAATAGTAAGAGGGGACCTGATACAATTTTACAAATTTATGCATGTCATGGAGAAAGTGCATAGACCATTTTCTCTCTCTCATGACACTACAGGGAGTTTTTGCACATTTCAGAAAAGCCCTCTTGATTATTAGGCTGTGTGTGTGAGAGAGAGGGGGGGGGTTCTGGTTTTTGAATAGACAAGACAAGGACCAGCTTTCAAGACTCCTTCATGTGTCCAGAATATTTTCTTCTTCAGAAATGTGAACAACCCAGTTCTGAAAAAGAGCCCATCCCCATTTGGAGCCTAACCAACTAACCCAATAAGAATTGCTCTGTTGGTATTTTGAAAATGCAAGATTATTTTATGTCTGTTCTCAGATTTATCTCAACTTTACTGCTTCCAGGCCTTTTGGAGGTGGCAGTTTCTTTTTATTGCCCAGGTGAAGTTTCCTAAAACTCTCCCTGCTGCCTGAGACAACGTTTCTAAAACTTTGAAGCACGGGTTTCAAAGAAACTCAAGGCTGCCCATCTGATAATTAAAGGGATAATTATCTTTGTCCTTGTCTGTTTCTGCCTCTGCAAGGACCAAGGCAGGCATGACTCCAGAGTTGCGTGAGCTATGTCAGAATCCTCTTCCTCCAGGCTGTTTTATACATATAGGTGCGGGTAACAGAAAGTAAAGGAGATAGAGGAGGGAAGATTCAATCTTGGATCTTTCTCAATCTGAGTTGCAGCATATATGTGACTGGTCACAGGTTCCTATGAACAACTGCTGGTTGCAAGGACAAAGTAAAGTTGCAAGATACTAAATATGTGGAGAGAGCTTTATTTTGAGAAGCAAGGAAAGTGAAATGGGTCAGCCACTTTCCAAAGCAAACATGTTTCCCTAGGAAAGAGGAAGAAGGCAAAGATGGGCTTTAAGGCTCTTGCTATAAACTGCTCATGAGTGCTTGCGCTCCTCTAAACCACACACCCCTGGATAAAAAACCGTTGGTCTTATGGTGTGCATGGTTTGCAAAAGGATTTTTCTGTAGAAAAGAAAAGAGACTTTTTGGAGAGACAGGGTAAATGCAGGGTTACATTTGCAGCAGCAGCAACTGCAGGTGTCTTGAACTGGCTAATTGCGTGGCTATTCCCTCCCCCTCCACGAGTGGAATAAATGAAGACACAGGACACCAGAATTTTAGGTTAATGGGCGAAAATGGCCACAACTTTATTGATTACAGGCAAGAGAGGTATTGGCTTTAGGCATTGGCCCTACCAGACTAACCGGTCTAACCGGTGAGGGTTAAGCACCAACAGGGGGAGCCACCCGAGATGCATATCCCTAGGCGCTCCCCGAGGGGTTACCGCTCGGGGGCGCGCTTTAGGCCCTAGCCTCCGTAGGTTTCGGATGAGGCGACGCCCCTCGGAGTCCTTTAACGAACTACCCTCCAAGCCTTGGGGGAGGTGATGGCGTTCCTCCCCCCCCCCGATCTCATTTACATGACAATACCCCAGCCAATGCCTACCGCCACCCGAGCCGCATCACACCGGCTCGCCGCCAATACCCTCAGCCTGTAACCAATCCCTAATTCCCTGAAAAATGTCTGCTAACCAAATATCATTGCCAGCATCAGATAGATGCACGCCATCCCCGCGATAGAGTGGTAAGTTGTCATACTGGATGCCACGGTGCCCAATGACCCGTCCACCCCATGCAGCCACTCTACACGCCACTGAGCGCTCCACGATCCTCCTGGCTTTATTCACGGCCACGGGATTCGCCGCATCCCGCCAGCATCTCCTTTGCAGCAAAGATGACCAAATTATTGTAATGTTATCATGGGTGGCCTTCAGCCCCTCCAGATCATTGATAATGTTCCACATTAGGTCCACCCCTTTCCTGTAAGCCAGGTCGTTCTCGCCCAGTTGAATGACCAAGGCGTCGGGAGCGCCTTCTGCTGCTATTTTTCCAGCTTTGGTCATCTTTGCTTACCACTCTATCACGGGGATGGCGTGCATCTATCTGACATTCTTTGCACTTCAATTGGTCGACTATGTTGGGCTGTTATGTGCTGCCACCCCTCCTCTCCCAGGGGCTGCTGAGGCCTCACCAACAGAGAAATGCAAAAAAGCCTCATTCTTCTTGAACTGCCCATTCCCATCCAGAAAGCATTGGGGGCCAAACATGTCTTGCAAAATCTTGGGGCAACCCTAGTAAAATGTGCATCAAAAGGCATATACTATTGAAAAGCATATTTTAAAAATGCATGATTTGTTGTTTCTTTATTCACAACGCGGGAACAGCTGATGATATTGGAACATTGTGGGAAGCTTTTACAGCTGTGATTTGGGCAGGCCTTATAAGCAGAAATGTGGGTAAGAGAAGTGAATAGAGAACCAGGATGAAATATTTGATCTTGCAGCTTTCTCAATTAGGGGTGCAGCAGAAAAATGTACATTCACAAAAAAGTAATTTCAGAAAATTAGAAACTGTTAAAATTGTCATTGCTAAAATTCTGGCAAGTGCCACAGCAAGAAGACTCGATAACATTAATGGATTATATAAACTAGATTTATTAAGAGAAGGCACCTGAGTACATATATTGAAAAAGCAGTATACATTGTGAGGAAAGCAGAGATAAACAAGTTACCATTTCATTATTTTTAAGTGCCACAAAAGCCTTTGACAGGGTAAAATGGCCCTAATTATTTGAGGTATTGAAAAAAATTTAAAAAGGCGATTGAAGTAGTTGCGTTAAAGGAGAGAAATTTTCCATCTCCATACTCAAATATATTCCCAAGGATAATGGAACAGATGACATTGAAGAAACTTTGACTTACAATAGAGGTGGGTCTCAAAGGGTGCCCTTAGTTGGCGGATGGGGGTGGGGTGGGAGGGTGTGATGTCCCCTCTTCAGGGTCCCTGAGTCTTCCTGAGGAGGACTCAGATCCAAACAATGCACCAACATTGCCTCCTGTCCCTCCTCATACTGTGGATTGAGAGATGACAAGATCCCAGAGAGTCAAGATTTCCTAGGTTATGACTGACCTCTGGCTGTAAAACCTTCCAGCAGCTGTCATATCCTGCAGGGTTAACTATTCTTCCTTAGCTGTTGTTGTTGTTTAGTCGTTTAGTCGTGTCCGCCTCTTCGTGACCCCCTGGACCAGAGCACGCCAGGCACTCCTGTCTTCCACTGCCTCCCGCAGTTGGGTCAAACTCATGCTGGTAGCTTCGAGAACACTGTCCAACCACCTCGTCCTCCGTTGTCCCCTTCTCCTTGTGCCCTCCATCTTTCCCAACATCAGGGTCTTTTCCAGGGAGTCTTCTCTTCTCATGAGGTGGCCAGAGTCTTGGAGCCTCAGCTTCAGGATCTGTCCTTCCAGTGAGCACTCAGGGCTGATTTCCTTCAGAATGGAGAGGTTTGATCTTCTTGCAGTCCATGGGACTCTCAAGAGTCTCCTCCAGCACCAGAATTCAAAAGCATCCAGTCTTC